GACAAAATCATGCTGGAGCAAAGCCAAAACATATCCGCATTTTAGCCTACTTACGAGTAGCAAACTTCAAACCATTTTCCAAACAAAACGGATATACGATGCTTTGTTCCAAATTAGGCGATCTAGTCTATACTTGTTTTTGCTATGCGCATCACATAGTAATGCCATTAAACCTAAGCCTTTGGTTCATCATATCAGTGCATTTTTGGTCTTGTTATACCATGATGTAACTCTGTTTTATGCTGTCCAAGCCATGCCATGTTTGGTTTCAATAGGTGTAGTGTATTGCCTCTTTTGTAGCCTTGCATGCTCCATGTTTTTGGCCTTGTGTTCTAGCTTGTGTTGGCTAGCTTCGAGCTTGTTTTTGGTCTTGTTTGGACCTGCCTTGGGACTGTTTTAGGTTCCCTTAGCCCTTTGGGCTTTGCTTTGTATGGCCATGGCTTAAGTTCCTTTGCTAATTCTTAGTTTTTGAGCTTCATGCATGCCATGCTCGTGTTATGTGTGTGATTTGGCATCATTCCTAACATCATTTCAGAGCATGTAGTATTGTCATACTTGCATGCTTTTCACTCCTCAAGTGTGCTTAAGAGTTGCATCTTTATGCCTTAATTCTTGAGCCAATTGGCATGCATGTTTTCCTTGCCTTTTCATGTTTTTCATACTATCAATTCATCATTTATGGCCACTGATTTTAGGCATGGATGAGGCCTATCCATCTTTAGTGTAAGCCCATCTTACCATGTTGTCACATGCTTGTCCCATTTCGTATGTTGTTGCATACTTGTCCGCCTTCGCATGCCTTGCATGTTTGTATGTTCATGTTGTATTTTATCATGTTGTTCAAGGTTGTTACCTCACATCATGCGTATATGCTTGTTGCATGCTCGGGTTATTGCATTGTATGTTTGCATGCCTAAGTCATATTGCATGTTTTCCATGTTTGTTTTGCATTGTCGTTTGGATTAAAGTGTTAATCCGAGCACGAGGAACGAGGGGCGTTTCGTACTTCAAGTGATGAAACATATCCCAATTCTCGGTCGCCGATGCTCTTGATGATCCATGATAGAGTTCTAGGCACTTATGTGATTTTCTTGTGCATTCATTTCATATTAATTTGCACAAGTTGGATCTTTGGCCATCATGCATCGGGATGCGTGATTAATGGTCTTGGATCCGAATATGCCTCTCCCTTGATGTTTCGAGGTGATATGGAGTGGCATAGTGCATACATACCCTTGGGAGACCCTCCATTTTCTCTATTTTGTGCTCTGCTACAGCTTGGTGTCCCAACACATCAGTGGCCGGCACCTCCTCATCCTTGGCCGGCAGTGTACCATCTTTGGCCAACAGGTGGTTGGCAGTAGCTTCTAATGGCCGGCAGGCCACTGATGCACTCCCCCAGACTGGTTTTGGTAAGGTTCAGTAGGAATTCCTTGAGGACACCCTGCAGACAGAGCCTCTAGAGAGCAACCGGAAGGCGTTTTGAGGCGAGAAACCGAGCGCGAACATGCATACCCTTCTGTTTCTATGAACAGAGCAGGAGCAGCATTAGTTGTCGCTTTTCATTTGTAATTAATTAATTTGTTAATTAATTAAGTTTTGTAATAATTAGTTATAATTAGTTATTCATTTTTTGGTTATGTAATAATTAATTAGCTTGTTAGTTAGTTAATTAGTTGGCATGTATTATTTATTCGGACCCTCCATTGAGAGGGCCAATTTTGTAATAAGGGTGTGTGCGTGCGTGCATGTCTCCTAACCTCCATTTCTTTCTCCTTTTTACTTATTTGCTTTTGTTGGTTAGTTTTAGGTCATTCTTCGATTAGCATCCTTATGCTTCGCATGTTTGCATTCATCCTTCAATTAGCATCCTTATGCTTTGCATGTTTGCATCCATCCATCTGTCTAGCATACTTATGTTTGCATGTTTGCATCATTCATCTACATTGCATGCACCGGGCTCGGCGCATCATACTAACTGCATCGTATTTCAATTCCAAGTTGAATACATGTATCAATTGCTACATCTTATGTGTCATTTTAGGATAGCCGAGCCTATTTCTAATTGCATCTCACGTGTGTTGCATTAGCCATCTCAACATAGCTAGGATCATGCATTTGATTACTAACTAGCTTCTGTTTTGGCTCGGAGTACTAGGTAAGCTTTTTATGCTTTAGCATACTACATGTGTGTCATTGCTGCCATGAAAGCATGCTTGCCATGAGGCTATTTGCTTAAGTGTATAACTGCCTGAATGCCTGTTGGTGAAGGTTGGATTGCTTGAATTAGAACAATTCATTGAAATCCGCATTTTAGCCTACTTGCGAGTAGCAAACTTTAAACTATTTTCCAAACAAAACGGATATGCGATGCTTTGTTCCAAATTAGGCGATCTAGTCAATACTTGTTTGTTGTGCGCATCACATAATAATTCTAGCTAATTAACCGGAATAAGAACACATGTGTTTTCAAAAACTAGATATCATGTTTAGTAGTGACCGATCTTTGATCGGGCGAGCGGGGGTGCTCATAGCTGACCTTCCCCAATCGTACCCAAGTTCCCAAACCGAGGCAACTTTGATGAAGACGGACACGTGGCCTTAGGCACGAGTCAGGGTTTCCTAAATTTTCCTAAAAATAAAATATTTAGGTGGCAACTCTGTATCTGGAAAAGCAGTCCATGTTTGGCACTTCTTTACAAAAATCAGTTTTCCAAAACGATTTGTCGGATTTGGACTCTTTGGTGATTTATCGGCCTTGCATTGCACTTTGCGAGACTAGATTCAAAACTGTGACAATTTGAGTCTGAACTGTAGCCTGAGGCCCTTGGGGCGCGTCTACAGTCCCCTGTGGTTGTTTGTTTATTTGTAGTGAATGATGTCAGTGTATTGCTTTGTTTGTTTGTTGTCATTGTGTTTTGTGTGGGGTATGCATTGAAAAGGTGAAGTTTATCCCTAATCCTCAGTGTATTACTTTGTTTGTTTCCTTCTTCAATTAACTTTTAACTTTATGCGTGAAGAATATGTTTTTTAATTCTATTACTTTATGCTTGTCATATACTGTAGGCATTTGTATTGTATAACTTTATGCTTTTATATTCTGTTTCTGTTTTGTGTGATCTATTTGAGGATTAGGGATTATTTATTATTTTAGTTTATGTTGGTTACATGCATGACTATATCTTTATTTAGGGTTATGGGTTGTGGTCCCAAAATGTATTGATGAAAGTCTTTTCTACTTTAGAAGTGAATGTTGAAAATGTCAGACAAATTAATAACTATTCAAATGCACCATGGGGGTCATTTTGTCTTTTATCCACATGTTGTTTATAAGGGTGGTAGGGTGAATGAAATAATTAACTGTAACCCTAACAAATATCCATGCTTGAGTTAATAAACCTTTATTATGACCTGGTTGGTGGAAAAGGAGCAAACATAGATATGTACTATACATAGCCTGGTTATAGTTTGGATATTGGGTTGAAAATAATTTACAGTGATGCTGATGTGATGAAAATGCTTGAGGCTTATAAGGGTTTAGATTATGTAATAGTTTATGTAGAGAAGGGTGTAGATCTTATTATGGTTTTGTCATCCAATGGTGAGTTGTCGTCAGATCCCAATGGTGCAGAACATGGTGGTAATGCCACGGGTGGTGGTGACACAAAACAGGGTGGTAATGCCATATGTGGTGGTGACTCAGACATTATTGATATAAACTTGTCTAATATTGACATCATAGTTGATGACATTGGGAATGACTCAGATGATAGTGCAGAGGTAGCTGAGGGTGAGGATGTGGGTAAGGATGTAAGGGTGGTGAGAAATCAAGTCAGAATCAGGCTAGAGAGAGTTAAATAGGAAGGGGGCATGAGGGTAATGATACATAACATGAGGAGGGGTTGCAACATACTACTAACACTGAGTCTGTAAAAGGTAATGAGGCTGATAAGAGTGACAGTACACAGAGTGAGACTGAATTTTTGGCTGATGAAGAGAGAAGTGATAGTGATGATTCTGAGGACTTGGACTATGTAGTTAGTGAAGAATATAGTTACACTGAAACTTCTGAGGATAGTGCAGAGGAAAGTGATGACCAAAGTTGGTTGTATGAAGACCTAGAGGGTCTAAATGATGACATTTTTTATGAAACCTCACACAGAAGAACTGAAGGATCACCACCTAAAGTTAATCTACCAGATGATATTGGTTGGTATTCAAATCTTGATGATGATGATGAATTGATTAGTCTGAAAGGGTTATCAGATGAGGCAAATGATGTTGGATACCCAGAATACATAGAAGGGATGATAAAGGATCCCAAACTTGTAGTTAGAATGAAATTTCCCAGTCCCCAAGTTTTTAGAGAGTATTTGAGGGAGTTTAATGTGGTGCATGGTTATGATATAAGGTACATCAAAAATGAGAGTACTAGGATCACTGCTGTTTGTAGGCATGGTTGTACTTGGAGGATACATGCCTCTCCATTAGGGGAACCACAACCTTTCAGATCAAAACTCTAGAAGGGAAACACACATGTGGGAGGAATTACAACAACAGACAAGCCAACTCCAAGTATTTGAGGAAAAAGTTTGTGGATGAGGTGAGAGATGACTCCTCCATTAACATAGCCTATTCTAAGAAAAAAGTGAGAAGAGAGATAATGGTAGATGCAAGTAAGTTTCAAATATATAGGGCAAAGAGAAAGGCAAGGGAGATAATTGCAGGGGATTTGGCAGAGCAATATCATAGGATTAGGGATTATGTTGCTACAGTTATTAGGAAAAATCCAACCTCACGCATTTCAATAACAACTAATCCTAAAAAGACATAGCCTACATTTGAAAGAATGTATTTCAAACTTGGTGCACATAAAGATGGATTTCTAACAGGGTGTAGACCAATAATAGGACTAGATGGTTGTCATTTGAAAGGGATTTTGGAGGGTAGCTACTCAGTGCTATTGGGAGAGATGAAATGACAACATGTATCCTATTACAATGGCTTTGGTTGAGATAGAATGTAAAGCCTCTTGGTCTTGGTTTCTTGAGGAATTGATGAGTGATATTGGGAGTGTTAAGGAGATAGGGTGGACATTTATATCAAATAAACAGATGGGGTTGGTTGAAACATTTGCAGAGTTATACCCTACTGTAAATCACAAATACTGCCTAAGACATATGTATAGTAACTTCAAGACAAAATACAGTGGTTGTGTGCTGATAGACCTGTTCTGGAAAGCTACATCAACTGGAAATGTGCATGAATTCAATTATTGGATGAAGAAAATTGAAAAAGCTGATCCTAAGACTGGAAATAAGAAGACAACTATGGAGTGGTTGAGGGAGACTGACCTTGCTTTGTGGGCAAGGTCACATTTTTCTCCAAGGAGCAAATGTGACATCCTTGTAAACAATTTGAGTGAGTCATTCAATTCTTACATTCTAAAAGCTAGAAAGCTACCAATAATCTTCATGTTTGAATGGATCAAAAGGAAATTGATGCAAAGGATTCAAGTTAAAAAGGCTGGAATGGCAAAATACAGTGGTGAGATTTCTCCCAATATTCATGACAAACTTGAGAAGTTGAAGGTAGAATCAAGGAACTACTTTGCAACTTGGTGTAGACAATTAGAATTTGAGGTTGATCATTTTTAGAGGAGGTACATAGTAGACCTAAGTACTAGGACATACAGTTTTAAGAGATGGGATTTGTCTGGTTTGCCTTGTAGTCATGTCATCAGTGCTATTCAAATCAATCATGAGCAACTAGAAGCCTATATGCATGAGTATTACAGCAAGTCTAGGTACTTGGATACTTATGCATTCATAATACACCCAGTTCCAGACATGTATAAGTATGAGGAAAGCAGCCAGAAATTGAATTCACCAGAAGTAAAGAAATTAGCAGGCAGACCAAAGAAGTTAAGAAACAGATAAGCAAATGAGCTAAGAAATCCACACAAGGCATCAAGGAAGAACATCAATGTGACATGTGCAAAGTGTCTGCAGAAGGGCACAATTAGAGGTCATGCAAGAACAAACTGCATCATAAGTCCAAAATGGTGAAGGTTAGTGTATGCTTATGCATTCATTTATTCCACACATATTGTTATTTGTTTGTTGTATACTTAATTTGTTTGTTGTAGCAGAGATTTACTAGTGGGCAATCATCTCAACCTGCATCAACTCCTACTCCTACTCCAACAACAAACATCCCATCAAATGAGGTAACCAACTTTTAATGTTGACTTGTAACTTCAAGTAGGAAACTAACAATAGTTTGCCCAATTTGTTTCTAATTGAAATTTTTTTTACCTCAAATGTCCAGTAAGAGCTAAACTAGAAGAGGAGGCCAAACAGCATCTTAGCCACCAATGAGTACTGCTTCTATTGGACTGAAGAGGAGGAGTACTAGGTTATCCATTTAGGTAACTCACTTGTTTATATAACCAACTTTTTTATTTTGTAACTTTTCTGTTTGTTAATTGAAAATGTTGTTGTAGTCCACAAAACTACCAACCCATGGTGGAAAGACATCAAGTGGTCTTGGCAAAGGACCTGAAATCACAGTTGGTGGAAGGGGTAGAGAACTAATTAATGCATCTGCATCTGCAATCAATGTTGGAAGAACTGGAGTGAATGCTAATGTCAGAGGGCTTGTTGTGTCAATAACTTCTGTGCTAGAGACAATCAAAGCAAGGAGATAGGACAAAGAACTGGCAACTGGGTCAAAGTAGACTGTAGGATTACCTGTTATTATTTATGTTTTTGTAATGAAACAATACTACAGAATGTGTTGTGGTTGTATTTAAGCTAAGGAATGATAGACACACACTTAGAGTTATGGTTTTTGTATTTAGAGTTATGGTTTTTGAGAAAGGTTTTGAAATGCAGCATACTTTTATAAATGTATTGGTATTGAATAGAATTGTCAGCATACTTCTGTAAATGGATTAGTATTGAATATCATTGTCAGCATATTTTTGTAAATGGATTGGTATTGAATAGCATTGTCAATTTCAGTTTTTTTTTGTCATTTTTGTTCCGTTGCTTCAATTGCATTGATTTAGAATGAGGCCTGTTGTTTTGCAAATCTACTCAGTAGGGTTACCATTGCTTCAAGTATACAGTCAGTTTGTTTGTGTTGGAATCATTTTAATGTTGGTTGTATATTTTGCATTACAATGCAGTAAAAAAAATTTAGAATTTGTTGAATTTTTTTTCTAATTAAACTTAGCAGGGTTTTGTGTTAAAATAATTTTCAATGCATTTTCATGTTGCAGTAAAAAAGAACATACAAAAATCACAAATTTCATAAACATAATTTCATTGCTTTCAAACATACATCAAGTGCATAAAGCACCTTACAAATTCTTACAAATTCATTTCATACTGAACATTAACATGGCGGAAATGAAACATACAAGCAAAACCACCATAGATGTCTTCATCATCATGTTCAGTGCCTCCATCTTCATCTCCAGCTGCATCAATCTTTCATTAAACTGCATACCTTCCTTAACTCTTGGCTTCTCATTATCGATCTCATCTCTTCCATAGATGGGAGCATATCCAACTAGGTTGCACCAAGCCTAGAAATCACAACCCCCCAAACCTGTATTTTCACAAACATAGTACAACCTACCTTTTGAAGTCTTCTTGGACTCCACAATTCTAATGGCTGCTTTTCTCTCACAATGACATTTCTTGCTCATGAACCTCAACATTTGTCCTTCTCCACCTCCAATGCTTGAAGATGACATTTTTGCTGGGTAGACTAGACTGTAACTCGACATACAAAGTAAGGAGGCAATATAAAAAACAATCTTATTGGGTAAGCTTTTATGTTTAACCCTAAGGGCATTTGGTCTTTTCATTGTGTGGAAACGTCATCAATTCATGCCCAATTGCACCACACGCGCGTGTACTGCACAGCCGGTTAGAATAGATGGAAAACCTAACTGTGCACATTAGTCTATCAACCACATGGGGGTTATGTGGCGATATTCGAAAGTCAGAGAGTAATCCACAAATGGCCTAAACCATAGGGGGTAAAGTGAAGTTTGCCCAAGGAATAAACTCTCATCATAAATTTGCTTGCCCTTTTTACATTTTTTATTTAAATTTTAGTAAAATTTTTATTTTATTTTATATATATATATGAAAGTAGTTTTTATTTGGAAAAATTATTTTAAAATTTTAAAATTTTCAAGATTTAACTATTGTAATAAAATATTCCTTTATTTATTTATTTATTTATTCTGTGAACCAACAAGTGTAAAATGATGATGATCTAAAAAAGAATGGGTTAGAGAGAGAGTGTCTGTCTTCTCTCTAGAAACTACCTCAATTTCTAGGGTTTTTAACTCCTCTTTGATGATGGCTGATCCTTTCTCTAATGCTATGTTCTCTACCTTAGTGAATGTGAGTGTGTCACCGCTTGACTCTTCCCAGTTGTTGGTTAGGAATGAGGCGAAATCGATTGATAAAACCCAGAACGGTATCGTTAATCTTTCTGAAAATGATTTGTCGACTCTCATGGAAATAGCTCAGAGAAGTGGGGGTTTGGAGGACAAGCAATCAAAGGCCATTTCAAATCTTATGAATCGTCTTCTTTCGTTGAAAAGCAAACTCAACCTAGATGGGTCCTCTGTTGCATTCGATGGTCTAAAACCAGCTGTTGCTAGTCTAGGGAGGTTTGAGAATGAAGAGATAGATTTGCAAATTCCCCCTAGATGTAGCGATTTGGTTGAAACTGACTCAAAGTTAGCCTTTCAAGTTGAAATACCCAGCAGTTCTGGTGCGTTAAGGGAGATTCAAGAACGTAGGGTGGATGTTTCAAGCACGACCCTCAATCTAGGCCAACCTCTTAGGCTAGGTGGAAGGGGTTATGGATCTTATCGTGGAGAGCGTGACAGAGGGGGTAGGGGTAACCCCCACCAATCGGGTTTTGTTCGTGGAGAGATTAATGCAATTCTAAAGGAAGGAGACAGACCAACCAAAACTTGGGCAGATGTGGCAACGATGCCAAGTAGATCTCCGATTAAGCTCAGGTATATTCCTTCCCTGCCTTCAGATAATCCAAATATTGTGGAATTCCCTCTCGCAATAAGGGTTGGGAAAAGGGAATCCTGTTTAGTGGGTTATGTAGACGTGCCCGAACGTCCCGAGCTCCGCGCCCGAAATCGGCGCGAAATCCGATTTGTTCATTAGCATACTACAGTTCGGACTCAAATGTCACGGTTCTGAATCTAATCTCACAAGGTGTAATGTGGGACCGATAAATCACCAAAGAGTTCAAATCCGGCAAATCGTTTTGGAAAACTGATTTTAATAAAAAAGTGCCAAACATGGACTGCTTTGCCAGATACAGAGTTGCCACTTAAATATTTTGTTTTGAGGGAAAATTTAGGAAACCCTGACTCGTGCTAAGGCCATGTGTCCGTCATCACCAAAGTTGCCTCAGTTTGGGAACTTAGGTACGAGAGGGGAAGGTCATGCAATGAGCACCCCCGCTCGCCTGATCAAAGATCGGCCTTTACTAACATGATATCTTGTTTTTTGAAAACACATGCGTTCTTATTTCGGTTATTAGCTAGAATTACAATGTGATGTGCACAACACACAAGTATAGACTAGATCGCCTAAGTTGGAACAAAACATTTCATGTTTGTTTGAAAATGGTTTGAAGGTGCTACTCGCAAGTAGGCTAAGACGTGAATTTTGCCACCCTCAAGTGGGCTTAGAAAACATGATTTTGCCACTCTCAAGTGGGCTTAAAACTCGCATTTCGATGAATTGTTCCAATTCAAGTAATCCAACCTTCACCCACAGGCATTCAAGCATTTTAACACATAAGCAGTTAGCCTCATGGTAAGCATGCTGTTATGTTAACACTCAAACTCATGCAAGATGCTAAAGCATAAAAGCTTACCTAGTACTCCGAGCCAAAACAATAGCTAGTTAGTAATCAATGCCCAAAACAATAACTAGTTAGTAATCAATGCATAATCCTAGTTTGTGTTAAGATGGCTAATGCAACACATTTAAAATGCAACTAGAAATAGGCTTGGCTATTCTAAGATGTCATGCGAGATGCAACTTGATAATCATGTATTCAAGTAGGAATTGAAATACAATGCGGTTAGTATGATGCGCCGAGCCCGGTGCATGCAACACAGATGAATGGATGCAAACATGCTATCATAAGTATGCTAATCAAAACATGGCCTAGAACTAACCATCGAAAGCGGTTAAGTATGGGGTTGGAAGACATTCACACACTCACGCACACTTATTACAAAATTCACCCTCTCAACGGAGGGTCCGAATAAATAATACAAATCAACTAATTAATCAACTACCCTAGCTAATTAATTATTACAAAACTCTTAACTAATTAAACTAATTAATTAAGTTACAAAAGCAGTTAAATCTGCCTTGAGAAGAGGGACATATGCATGCTTGGTCGACTTCGCTCGGAAATCCGTTGCCATGCCTCATGTTGCCTCTGTTTACACTGTTTTGCACCTCTGAAAACTGTGAAAATCTCTGTGATGCTTCTGGACCACTTCACGAACACTGTGAGAGGACATCGGCCAAATGGTATGGCCATCGGCCAAAGTAAAAGGGCCATCGACCATTTTTTAGTCCATCGGCCAAGCAATGTTAGCCGATCGGCACTGAATATAGCCGATCGGCCATCTCTTCCTGCAGACTGCTCCTGTTGCTGCAACAGAGGGCAAATAAGGGCATGACAATACATTTGCAAGAAAATGTTGTGTAACTACACCCCTTATCATGTTTGGGACTCAAAGGAGTGTAGTGTTCGACTCTCGAGCCATCAATTACGTATTTCGATGCATAATGGCCAAAGAGGCCGAATTGCACAAATCGATGTGGAATGAATGTACAAAAACACATGAATGCCTCATACTCTATCATGTTGGATCAAGAGTGTGGATGACCGAGGATTGAGGCACGTTTCGTCACTTCAAGTACGAAACGTCCCTCGGTCCTCGTGTTTGGTTTGACACCCCAAACCAAACACAATGCAATGCATGCAACATGGAAAAGCTATGCAATGCAACATAAGCATGCAAAATGCAATATGACTCAAACATGCATACAAGGCTAAGGTAACAAGCATGAATGCAACCTAAACAAGCATGTGACAAAATGCAAACTAGCAAGCATGCAAAATGCTACCTAGACATACAAACATGTATGGCATACAAAGATGGACAAACATGCAACAACATGTAAACTAGCAAGCATGCAACAACATGCAACATGTCAAGCATGTAACAACATGCAAAGATGGACTTAAACTAAAATGGGCAGACCTCAGCCATGCCCATATCAGTGGCCAAAATAATGAAACAACGGTATAAAATGTACATACAAACATGCATGCCAATTGGCCCAAGAATTAAGGCATAAAGAGGACAATTCTCAAGAGCATTTAAAGAGTGAAAAGCATGCAAATGTGACAACATTATATGCTCTGAAATGATGCTAAGAATGATGCCAAATCACATAAGCAAGTCAAGCATAACATGCAAGGAAGCTCAAGGCTTAAGGCTAGCCAAAGAGCTTGTACTAAGGCCAAATGAATCAAGCCCCCAAAGAGCCAAAGACAACCAAAACAGTCCTAGATCATGCTAAAAGGAGTCTAAAACATGCAAGGGCCAAAGCTAAAACAAGCCAACAAAAGTCCAAAAGGCATGAGGCATGTAAAGCTAACAAGGGGTGTTACACTACACCTATTACAACCAAGCATGGCATGACTTAACCAATGAAAAACAGAGTTATGGCATGTCAAAATAAGCCCAAAAACCCATTGAGGTGGCACCCTAAAGACCTAAACATAGAGGCATGTGCAATGATCCATTTTTGAAGCATAAAACAGCAACTCTTCAAAGCATTGAAAGGATGACAAATGCGAGTATATGGCTACACCACATGGACTGAAATCACATATGAAATGATGCCAAATCATGAAAATGGTCGAAGCTATGCATGCTAATGACTTGGACACTCAAAGCCAACAAGCTAGATTGAACGAAGGCTATACAAAACAATGCATGCATGACTAAAACAATGAAAATCAGAGCCAGAGCATGGTAAAACGTGACTAAAAGCTCCTTTGAGTTGAGCCAAAATATGCAAGCATGATGGTCCAAATGCATGATGCATGTTAAGGCAAATAAGAGGATTGCAAGATAAGTGCATGATGCATGTAAGGGGCTATCAAACCAACTTAAAACAAAGGTATAGCATGGCCAAATAACACCAAATACTTGCTGAAATGAAGCTAAAACATGCTAAGCAAACATGCTACCAATATAAGCCATTTATACTAGCAAATAAGAGACAAGGAGAGAGGGGTGTCCCTCTCATATACAAGACTCTAAAACCACTTCTCCACCACTAAAAATCCTCTGGATTTCAGTGGTGAGAAGGTTAAAACAAGATGGTTCCAAAGCTCAAAAGGGAAGGCACAAAATAAGGCCAAACAAGGCCTAAGAGGGGGTAGACTACCCCCAACCAAAAAGTGACATTAAAAAAACTTCACAAGCATGCAAAATCAGAACTTTTTACAGTTTAGAGTTAAGCTTAAAACAATGGGGGATTAAAAGGTAGTTTACTCACCCTTGATGAACACCTTCAAGAACAAAACTCCAGCACCTTTTCTGAGCTTAAACCACTCCAAGAACTCTAAAACCAACTCTTAAGGACCTTAGCAACCAACTGATGGTGTTCTACTAGGTATTTGTGTGCAATAGTATGAAGAAAATACACTTTAAGGCACAAACACACACACAAATATAGAGAGAGAGATATATAGAACTTTGTATCTCAATTCCAGAACCCCTGGAAAGGGAGGGGAGGCTCTCTTCTTATAGAAATTCAATTCTCAAGCTTGTTCAACAAGCTTGAGTCTTGAAGCAAATCCCTCCATACACGTGTATGGAGGATGGGAATTGTGTATATCAGCTATCACAGCTGGCAGAAAATATCTGCAAAAAGAAGATGGAAAGGTCTCGGCTAAAAAATATGGCCGATCGACCAAACAAAGTGCCGATCGACCAAAAAAGTGCCAATCGGCCACCACTTTTGGCCGATGGCAAGAAAACATGGCCGATGGCATCATGCCTTAGCCGATGGGTTGAGGGGATGGCCAACAAGCCACCCTCTTCCCTCAGAAGCAAAACCATAAGTCCTTGGTCGACAACCAAGCACAAAACAGGCAAGTTGAGAGATCCTAAGGCAAGGCGCGTAGCCGAGACCTTTGGGAACTCAAAACGAACACGAGCATGGATGATTATCGAGTGTTCAAACGATGACGTCCAAGTCTTGAGGACGGTTAAAAATGGGGTGTCTACAGGTTATTTTTTGGATAAAAAACTACCTTTCAACTATATTAGAAATAGTGCTTTCAATCAGTGGAAAAACATGGGGCTGAAGGAGGTTCAAGCAAATGGTGATGGCTTTATGTTCTTTATTTTTGACAATATGGACGCCTGTGGGAGGCTCCTGGAATGAGGGCCTTAGTATATGGGTAACCAATTGCTACTTCTAAAGAAGTGGAAAAGAATGATGAGACTTACTAAGGAACATGTTTCACAGATTCCAGTTTGGATTAAATTGTTTAATGTCCCTATGAAATACTGGGACTTTGAAAGGCTGAGTAGAATCTCTAGTAAGATTGGACTCCCGTTGTTTATGGATCATCTTACTTCCACTGGGAGTAGAGTATCCTTCTCAAGGGTGCGTGTGGAGGTTAATGTTGACTCCCTTTTACCTCAAAACTTGTTTGTTAAGTGTGAGGATGAAGTGGTGGAAATAAGAGTGGAATACCAAGGCACACCTACTAAATGTGAACATTGTAGAGTGTTTGGACATGATACCAAAAATTGTATTTCAAACCAAGTGGCACAATTGGTCAAGATACAAAAAGTAACTGAAGAGGATAAGGAAAATGGATGGAAAATTGTTAAGTCCAAAGGGAAAAAGAAGATTGGGGAACCAGATGAAGGAGAGGGCAGTCAAGGGGGTGATACCTCTCAAATAGAATCACCACAGCATAGAGAGAGCCTCATCCCTGAAATTAACAGTGAAGCTCCCTTGAAGGTACTACATGATGAAACATTAGGGTTGGCCCAGGTTATGTCACCGCGAGCAATTCAGATTATGGATGTAGCTAAAACAGTAACTCTATCAGCAACTTCTGCTGTTATGGAGGAGGACAGCAACCTAATACCAGTTGAAGCCTTAAATGTACATGATGATGCACAGAAGACCCCTTCAGCAGCTTCAGGAAGCAAGAAGAAGAAAGGATAGGTGAAATCCTCTGGCAGCCAGAGGAAGAAAAACAGGTAATATTTGATTTTTGTTGGGTTAACAGTAATAAATTGCTTATGGATTTTAAAATCTCTTCTTGGAATATAAGAGGGCTTAACGACCTCTTAAAACAAAAAGAAATTAAGAATTTTGTCTTGAAAGAGGAGTTAAAAATCCTTAGTATTTTGGAAACCAAAGTTAAACATGCTAATGAGCAGGCTATTTTTGGTTATATATTTAAAAATAATTGGGGCTTTTTGTCTAATTCCAACACCAATGCTTCTGGTCGTATTTGGATGTGTTGGACCCCTGCTTTTGTTTTGTTAACCCATTATTTCAATCTGAACAGATTATTTTTTGTAAAGTTCACTTGTTAGAACTTGATATACAATTTGTTGTGGGTTTTGTGTATGCTGCAAATCAACACCTGCTAAGAGTTACTCTTTTTGATAAGCTTGTGGAGCTTGCATCCCAAATATCCAATAGCCTTATTGTCTAGATGGGGGATTTCAATGCTATCAGATATCCTCATGAAAAGATTGGGGTCTCCCAATCCTGGTCCTCTGCTAAGGAACTGTTTAATTACTCCATTCTTCAAGCTGGTTTTGATGATATTTCCTATAGTGGTTGCCATTTCACCTGGGCTAACAAACAAGTGGATGGTCATTACATAGCTTCAAAAATTGATAGAGTTTTAGTGAATGATAATTGGCTTAAGACTTTTCCTTTTTCTCATGCTCAATTCTGTCTCTCAGGCCCTTCTGACCACTCTCCTGCTATTCTTAGTATCATTCTTGATGGTACTAGCTTCAAGAATTTTTTTAACTTTTGGGCTGACCATTCTGATTTTCCCTCTATTGTCAGAGGGGTGTAGTGGAAGTATATCACGGGCTCTTCTATGTTCAGAATTTGTTGTAAGCTTAGAACTCTGAAACCTCTTTTGAAAAATCTGAACAAAAAAGATTTTAGTGATATCTCTGCTAAAGTTAGTCTCTAGAGAGGAGTTAGAGAATATCCAATTCAAACTTGATAGGGATCCTGGAAATATGGAGTTTCAATCTTCTGAGAGAATTTTGTGTAAGAAATATATTGATTTGTGTCAGGTTGTGGGGAGTTTGGCTAAACAAAAATCTAGAATTCAATGGCTGAGTTTGGGTGACAGGAACAGTAGCTTTTTCTTTAGGACTGTCAGAAATAACATTAACAGAGGTAGAATTAGTAGTATTACTATGGATAATGGGGTTAGAGTGACTAAACCCCTTGATATTCATGAAGCTTCTGTGTCTCACTTCTCCAATTTACTTGGTTCTCCTAGTGTGGGTACCTATGATGGGTTTGGTAGAGTTAATGAACTAATCAATAAGAGGCTTTCGAGTGCCCAGGTGACTACTTTGGGGCAAGATGTGACTGTTGAGGAGATTACTAGTGCATTTCGGTCCCTTAATCCTAATAAAGCTCTTGGTCCTGATGGTTACTCTACAGGGTTTTTCCATAGTGCTTGGGATATTGTTGGTAATGAGGTCATCCAAGCTATAAAATCTTTTTTTGACTTGGGGGAATTGCTTAAAGAGATCTACTGCACCACTGTTGCCTTAGTGCTTACGATCCCCAACCCTGGCAAGGTAGGGGACTACAGGCCTATTTCTTGTTGCAACACTATCTATGAGTGTATTGCCAAAATCATTGCTAATAGAATCAAGATTGTGCTTCTTGATATTATTGACCTTGTGCAATCTGCTTTCGTCCATGGCCGAAAATTGTTGATAATATTTTCCTTTCCCAGGAGCTTATGAGAGGGTACCATAAAAAGTTTTCCTCTCGAAAATGTTCTATGAAGGTTGATCTCATGAAAGCATATGATAATGTGAGATGGGATTTTTTGTTTGATGTGCTTAGAACTATGGCTTTCCCAACTCGTTTTATCAATTAGATATAAGCTTGTGTTACCGACGTTTCCTTCTCCATTTGTATCAATGGTAGTTTATATGGTTATTTTCAAGGTGCTAGGGGGTTGAGACAAGGGGACCCTTTATCCTCTTATCTTTTTGTCATTGTTATGGAAGTCTTGGCTAGAATTTTAAATGAGAAGTTCCTTGATCCTCAATTCAAATTTCACTGGAGATGTGCGAAAAATAAAATTGTCAACCTTTGTTTTGCAGATGATCTCATGATTTTTTGTAAAGGGCATATTCAATCTGTTACTCTCATTAAGCAAGGTCTCACCGAATTCCAATCTTTCTTTGGTTTAGCTCCCAACCCTAATAAAGCCAAGTGTTCTTCTCTGGTTGTGATCATCACTTGAGGGGGAATATTTTGGAGGTTACTCAATTCCAAGAGGGTAAGCTACCTATTAGATATTTGGGTGTCCCTTTGATTACCACTAGGATTAAAGCGGTTGATTGTGTTAGTTTGATTACTAGGATTACCAATAGGATTAAGTATTGGACTAGCAAAGTTCTGTCCTATGCAGGTAGGGCTCAGCTGATAAGCTCTATCCTATTCTCTATGCAAGTTTACTGGTCCTCTCTCTTTATTATCCCCAAAAAGGTAATTAAGGAGATTGAGGCTTTGTGTAGATCTTTTTTGTGGTCTGGTCTTGCTCTTAAGAAGTTTGGGGCTAAGGTTTCTTGGGATAGGGTGTGTGCCCCTAGAGGTGAAGAGGGTCTTGGGTTTGAATCTATGGAGATTTGGAATAAAGCTGCTGTGTCTAAACATATTTGGTTTTTAGTCTTTGGGGGTGAGCAATCCATGTGGTGCCAATGGGTGAAATCCTACCTTTTAAAAGGTCATAGTTTTTGGAATGTCAAAGTTCCTAGTGATCTTTCTTGGGTTTGGAGGAAACTTCTGTCTCTTAGAGTCCTTACTTACCCTCTGATCAAATTTTTGGTAGGTTCTGGTGAGCAAACTTTCCTTTGGTTCGACAATTGGCATCCATTAGGTCCTCTTGGGGCTAAGTATGGGGATAGGTTCATTTCTGACACTGCTCTTGGCTGCCAATCTAAAGTGAGGTCCATTGTTTTTTATACTGGGTGGACGTGGCCTAATGAGTCCTCTTGGGAGGTGCAAGAAATCATTTCTAACACCCTTCTTGATTTGATTCCTTCTCTGTTGAGGGTGGACAAAGTTATTTGGGTTCCTACTTGTGATGGCAATTTTAGTATTGGGTCTGCTTGGCAGCATTGGAGAACTAAGTGGCCTAAGAACCATTGAGCTAGGCTGCTCTAGGTTCCTCATTATATCCCTAGAGCCAGCTTTATTGTGTAGATGGCTATCCTGGGTAGACTCAATACTGGTGATAGACTTGCCATTTTTGGTATTAACCCTGCCCCCATTTGTCCTCTGTGTGGTTATAATGGGAGGACCATGACCATTTATTTTTCCACTGTCCATTTTCCTCTAAAGTTTGGGTTGCCATCTTCAGAAAATGCAATGTGAACTGGACTTGTAATAGCTGGGTTGACTGGGTGGATGTGGTGGTAAGAGATTGTCAGGGTAAATCTCTAGCTACCATTCTTAAAAAGCTTGGCTTCTGCTGCACTGTTTACCAAATTTGGTGGAGAGAAATAACATGGTGTTTAACAAAGAAAGGAAACCTGAATAGGTTGTCATAAAAATCATTATCAGCATGATCCGGTTTAGATGTTTGGCTTTGAAGAACATTAAGAATTCACCAACTGATGCTTGGTTTCAGCAAGAATGGAGGCTTCCAGCGACCATTATAAATTTGAGTGGAGGGCAGTTTCTTGAGGGTTGAGTGTTGTTTTTGAGAGTTGAGTGCTGGTGAGAATATACAGGAGGGTCAAGTGATGTGAACCATATGGTGAGGTTTATTGTTTAAATGTTGTTATCTAACATGTTACTGTGCAAGTGGCAAATCTGATTCCTTTATAGGGATGGTGGGTTGAGAGATGGTGAGCCTTTATATATTGAGTGAGTGCTGTAAGCTGCGGGTTGAGTGAACTAGTTTCAAAAACTTTCTAACTTTACTGCAAGTACTTATGGCTGGTTTTTATTACAGGGATTTTTTCATTATGGGTCTAGTGAAGGAAGACCTTAATTGTTTGTTAAATTGGGGAATTTTCTCACTGTTATTACTCTTTTGGTTTCCTTTGGTTGGATCTGTGTGGGTGGTCCTAACAAGTCATGCTGAAACTTGAAAGTATAAAGATGTAGGGAATGCAATCTTAAACCAGGCTGCAATCTGCGCTAGTTCAATGAATGGAGTGTGCTTGACAGTTGTCTTTTTATTTTGATGGTGCTGCACATTTGGATAGGAAGTATGGAGCTGAATTCCAACTGGTGTTATGTTCATTCTAAGGTTTCTACCTATTCCCTTGCGGGTTGTGCTTGGGGTCTTATTTTATTTTCTTAAGCTTTTGGTTTATGTATATTGGTTTATGTGGCTGCTATGGAAAAACATAACATTGATTGGCTTCTTTTGTGTGTGCTTCTGAACTTGGTTATGGAGGCAGCTAGTATGCTAGGTTTTGCTAACAGATTGTTGCTAATAGATTTGCTTCTAGTATGGCAGCCAGTATGCTAACAGATTTGTGGCTGCTTTGATAGGCTTGTTTTGTTTGTGCTAGCTAGTTATATATTAGTAGATATCATTGATTGGCTTCTTTTGTGTGTGCTTCTGAACTTGGTTATGAAGGTAGCTAGTATGCTAGGTTTTGCTAACAGATTGTTGCTAATAGATTTGCTTCTAGTATGGCAGCCAGTATGCTAACAGATTTGTGGCTGCTTTGATGGGCTTGTTTTGTTTGTGCTAGCTAGTTATATATTAGTAGATATGTTTTAGTTGGTAAATTTTGTTTAGCTTTGTTAGGGCCTAGGGTATTCCCCTTGTATTTTTGTAAGTTTTCTTGTTTTATTTTATGACTTAGGTCTCGTTTGAACCATCTTTTTTAGCCAAAAAGTCAAAAAGTTACTAAATTAACCAAAAAGCCAACAATCCATATCAAAAAGTCAAAAATTCTCTTTTCTCTCTACTTTTTGCACATCTTTTCGTAAAAAACCAAAAAGTCATCTCAAACATACTAGTTTTTTTTAGCTCATATTTTAGCCAAATAGCCAAAAAGTTACTAAATTAGTCTGTTCCCAAACGAGGCCTTATTCACCCGAAAAACAAAATATATTTTTTAAAATTTTTAATTTTATCAAATTGAATCTTCATATTTTGATTTATTTTTAATTTAAACTGTCTAATTGAAACTGAGGTGATAGTGATTGTGGTCTCAGGGATAATTTTTACATCCATCCGACCCTCCACCTACCACTTTACCACCCAATGTTTTAAAAATCGGACCAGTGAACAAACTAGAAAAGTTACCAAGTGGATGGGTCACTGGTTTAATCGCGGATGAACCAGAATTGAATCGTAATGTTATAATTATGTCATCAATATATTAAAATTTATAAGTATAAAAAATATAGCTATTAAAATTACAAAAATTAATAAATAATAAACATTTACAAAAAAAATATTTCTTAAAATTTATTTTACGTTTTTTATACATTGATTTTAGTAAAAATAATTAAGATAATATTGAATATATAATATATATACTTATTACATTGTCAACAATTGTGTTGACAGGTTAATAGTTTGAGTGCTTACGTTTTATATACTTGGATCCATGTTTAAGTCCTCTCAACAACATATTTTTTGAAGAAACTTCAATCATTCAAACACAACTGGTTCTAATGTTGACCCGTGACCGGTTCACTGGTTATTCTGGTTGAACTGTCGATTCTTTCAATTTTCAAGTTCTAAGCCGATTTTGAGTATAATCAGGGTTTGGAGGATTATCCGGACCGGATCTAGGTCCGGCCATGGGTTCGACTGGCCAGTTCGCGTTTGAAAACATTGCTACTACCTCAACCAACCCCTCGACTACCACTTTATCTCCACCGCAACTCTATCACTATTACCACCAAAATCAGCACTATAAGACTGTTGCTTGGGTTAAAAGTTAATTATCATAAAAGAAAATAAAAATTAAAAGTATTTCACCTTGGTAATTAGTTTTATTTGTATTTTTTAAAAAGTTTATTTAAGCTAAATACTCAAACCATGATTATCAAAATAAAAAAAAAATAAAAAAATAAAACTATAAATGCCTATTTTGACAATACGGTTAAAAGTAATATTTTTTTTGTATCACATCATTTCTCTACTTTTTTTTTACATATTTTAAAAAAATCAAAAAAATTAAAAAATTAACTTCTAACTCATTTTTTAAAATAGGCTAAACAATTGAATAAGTTGCACCAAATAAGATTTGGAATTTATGGTATTTTTGCAATTTCATCCATTCCTCAGAAAACTAATTTGCCCTTGGATTTATATGTTTTAAAGGTTGTTTTAGCTGCACATATATTTGAAGATTAGCCATATAAATCAATAGGAAAATTTATAAAATTTCAATACAAAAAAAAAATATTTTTTATAACAAAAAAACATGAAAAACACACATCAAATCAAAGTAAAAGAGATGAACGAGCTGGCTTGGGCTCATTGACTATTTTTTTTTGATCAGCAAAAAAGATCAACTTTATTGATGAAGATTCAACAATACAGATGAAAACATCAACAAAGAAGGAAAATAGCACACCAAAGGATGGTGAGATACCATCCAAGAAGACAACCAAACAAAACAACAAAACTACACCCCACCCAAAAAAACAAACAGCCACACACCATACAAAGAAAACTAACAGAACCACCAATTTAATCCTAACACCCCCAACTTCCACCAACTACAAGAGAATAGAAGCAACCCAACACCACTGATGATATTAAGACAGAGATACATACCTGATTTGTTGCAATCTCCGAATGATGTCCTGGACTGAATAAGAACACCCTTTTGAATGAGCTTTGACCCAAAAAGCCACTCTAGCCAAAATCAACTCACAGAATTCTGCAAGGCAGAGCTGCTTCCTAGAGAAAACTACTTCATTTCTGAGTTTCCAAGTAGACCACATGACAGCCAAAGGAATAACTTTCCAAATTCTATCTTCAAACTTTCTCCACTTAAATCCCATCCACCAATGAAGCAACCCTTCAACATTACCAAGCACAACCCACTGAATCCCCCACCAGTTTAACACTGTAGACCATACTTGCCAAACAAAAGGGCACCAAAGAAGAACATGATTAACTGTTTCAGCATCATTCCTGCAAAGAACACAATCAATGGAAGCACTTTGGTTGAGTACGCCAATCTTTTGCAGAAACATGGTTGTTTTCAATCTACTTTTCCACGCTAACCAACCAAGGAACTGAACTTTCGGAGGGGCCAAATTATACCATAACAGACCAGTGCACAGAATAGAAGGACTATCTATTCAGAATAGAAGGAACTGAACTTTCGATTGGGCTCATTGACTATATTACATTTGGAATAAATTATAAATATACTTTTGAAATTTATTTAAAGTATAAATTGTATGTTTTTGTTAAAATTTTTTATTTAATAAAATTAACTAAAAAAATAAAATTAATTATTGTTCTCCTATATAATAATAAATTATCTAAATTATTAATTGAAATATATTTTTAATATTATTCAAAATTATTAATTGATTTAATAATTTATTAATAAAAGAAGAGATTTATTATGAAATTAAAACTTCATAATGTAATTATTAAAATTATAAGATGAAATTCGTATTTTAATCATGTATTTGCAATTTACCCTGATATTTGTACAAAATGGGCTCTATTCAACTTGCTTGTTTCCACTTTTCAAAAAACACTTTTCAGAAAATTCTATTTTCTTATTTTTTGTATTTTTTTTGTTTTTACCGAATTTTTTTAATATTTTAAGCATTTTTTTTTTTACTTTTTAGAATGAAAGAGATGGATTACGAAACCAAAAGATATAAATTTGAACACAATATATATTATTAATCATTAAAAGATATAAATTTGAACACAATATATATTATTAATCATTAAAAACATTTAAATTCAAAACATTCAACTTACAATTACAATAGTAGTAGGTTACAGCACAAGGTGTTGGTTTTCACCCAGAGCTCTTGGATTTGTTAGAATATATGTTTCTAAGAATTTCCAAGTCTGCCGAATGAATTCAACTTGATTACAATATATACAAAACAAAGAAAAGAAAAGCAGTATTTGACTGATGAAAGCAGCTAGCAGCACATGGAGTAAAGCAGATGCTGTCGGTTGCTTTCGG